GCACACACCTGAAGAGTGGAGCAATACAGAAATGGACATGTCCTCTGACATGCCCGGGAAAGGAGTTGACGAAGCTCTTCAGTGTGTGCGGAAAACAAAATCGAGGAGAAAAGTTGAGGCTTCGCACTCATCTTCCTCTCGGAGCATTTGCCTTCTCTTTTTGCAGAGATGTAGGCACCGTCGTACCTAATTCTCCAACTTCCACTGGACAGGAACCGCTTCAGCACATCTTGCTTACTAGCCTTAGTGAGGCCATCGGCTAATTGATGGTCTGAGTCACACCACAGTAGAGTGGTCTGCTGTGCCTCCAAGTGCTGGCTCAGTGCAAGTAGCTCAAGCCCGGTGTACTTATCCTTCTGGCTAGAGACGAGGACACCCTTGGAGAGCGTGTCGTACATCGCCTTGGCATCCACAATCAAATAGCCTGGCATTCTCCGCGCGACACCCTCATGGCTTCCTGCCATTCTTCGTGCCACGCTTTCGTAATTGCCCGGCATCTGGTGGGACACTGTCTCATAATTGCCAGGTGAGAGATCATCACCCAACATCTCTCTCCACTCCAACCGAGCATAGAACAGCTCTTGCTCCGTATCGGCAAGTGCTTGAGATTCTGCGGAAAGGCTACTTCGGGCGATACGATGAAGTTTACCGCTGCGCCAGGAAACTGGGTTCACACGCCCGACACCGTCCTCAAAAGCCTTCTTGTTCATCAAGGCGATGATGTAGCCACCGGTGGAGGAGAAGTCCGGTCTATTCGCCAGAGAGGCGTCTGACCACCCGACCATGCACAGATCCTCAGCGCTCTCCGCTCCAAGAGCTTGTACCTGCACAGACAAGCTTCTCGCGGAGAAAACCTCTCTAACCAACTTGTTTACCTGATCCACGATGCTTGCATCTTGAGACGCGACCAAGGATTGCAGGTAGTTGAGCTTCGCAGCATGCTGCGGCGCACTTTGATAAACTCTCCATTGTATGGACCCCAAAATCGCACGAACCTGACTTAGTTCTTCAGGACGGAGTTTCCGACTCTCTTTGATGGGATCCATTTGCTTCAATTCCTGGCAGAAAGAAGAGTGATCAATGGAGATTGAGTAGTCAGGATGCTGCATGATTTGCACTCCACAATGCTTGAATGCACCGTACTGCCAAGGAGACCATTCGTGCGCCGATTGGAATTTCTTGAGGAAGGTTTGCCATGCCTGAGATGACGTGTCCCCAGCCATGAGGAAATCATCCACATGAGATGATACCAGACCGATTACGGTGCCGGAGGCATCTCGAATCCTCCAGACGCAACTGTCGGTAGTCAGGCGCTGGGCACCTAGGGAAAGCAATGTGCGATGTACGTCCTCATACCATTCCCGGGGAGCTGATACCAAACCGTAACAACTCTTAAGTAGTTGGACGCATTGTCCCTGCTTCAGTCCAAGTGCTTGACTGAGTTCAGGAACCGGAGTCGCGAAGACTCCTCGCTCACCTTGGGGAGATTTTGCTTGGAGGAATGCACTCTTCACATCTCCACAAACTATTTGCCATCGTTTCACGGAAGCCATGTTCAACAACAACTGCCGAGATAACCGTGACATAGCTGGAGACACAGTGGATGCCTCCAAGAGATGGGGATCTGAGTACCCCGATATCACAATTCGGGCTTTAGCTTTGACTTGCTCTGATTGGGGCTCTTTTCCTGACCCATCTGCATCCTCGGAATGGCTTTTGAATGTCAGTACCCATCTCATTCGAAGTAGCTCCCGCTGAGGGACAAATTTATTTGCCGCCTTCACTGCCACAGTGCATAGCCAATTAATTGTCAACTTCACGAGATTTGGCTGAGTCCATCGCAGCCCGTTGTTCTTGATTGAGTTTGGCATAGCTGATCTCCACCCCCTTTTGAACGCTTTTAGCGATAAACCTTTTGGGATTTTTGACTATGTTCTTCCATTCTTGTTCAGTTTGAGGAGCTGGCAAGGTCACAGCAAACACGGGAGTGTCCTGAACATCATCACGCCGATCCGCATCTGAAGCGTGAAAGACAAAGTCGTGATTCTGGTCCTCAGAAAGCACAGCAAAGGACTCGGGAAAGTATGAGGGGTCTTGCATGAAGCGCGCCATGTCCGGATGGGAACTCATCATCGCAGCTGAGGAGGTTGGAGGCAAAGCTGGAATCATTTCCATCTCATCATCTTCCGGGGTCTCTGGCTCGTCACGTTTGACACCTGAAGCGCTTGGACCAGGAATTAGCTCATCATCCTCACTGTCAGGTTGAACCGGATTATTTTGGGGCGCTGACGGAACTGGGACCGGTATCTCACCCTCGCTAATCCTCCTTCTGACTGTTGGCGGAAGGGATCTTGACCTCGCCGGAATTTGAGATCTTCCCCTTGAAGTACGGTTCCTGACACGTGTTTCGTCATCATAAGATCCACGCTCTAGAAGCTCAGCCAACGAAGAGAAAGTCCATGGAAAAGCAAGGCCTGAAGCTCCCTCTGCCACCAAACGTTCCGTCTCCGACGCATGTCGAACCTGGGAATGATGGAACTTCTTGAGGCGACCATTTGCTACAGCCCACACAATTGTTCCTGGTCGTCGACTACCATCCTCAGAATCTACTCTAGTTTCCGTGGCTAAGACCCGAGCAGGACCATAGAAGCGGGCAATGTTCATGCGGGGGCGATCGACCACGACATTGGCAGGGGTATCCTGAGGAACTTGGCACCGCTGATAAAAGATCAAATCGCCTGGCAGGAACTGCTTCACGGGCCTGGTTTTGCTGTTGATGGCGCGGGACATCAGTTCTCGTTCTCGATATTCTAGGAAAGCCTTCTCGGCCCTGGTGCGGATTTGAAGTGCATCATGCATGCTACCCGTAGGATCTGCCATTGCACTTTGAGCACAGACCTCCCCATCTCGTTCACGGCTATGTCCAGTAGTGGTCACATCACGTCCAAAGGCCCATTGAGCTGGTGACCAACCTGACGAACGTGCCAATGAGTTGTGGGCCGCTACCATTTGGGCTGCCACTCGAGTAGGATGGAACTGTTCAGCACGCATGAATGTCTCTACTTTACGTCTAATTGTCCCGATAGAGCGTTCCACCTCGGAGATCCCTTCGTGGTACTCTGCGGGAACAAAAGTCAACTCGACACCTCGGGATGCACAGTAATCACCAAGATCGAGCCCTCGAAAAGCCCCTTCAGGATCGAGCCGAATACGTTCGGGAAAACCAAACATCTGGCACCATCGTAGCTCCAGCACTTTGCACACCTGAGCCGTAGTCATTTGCCGCATTTCTGAACCCTTATGTCTCAGCATCTCTTCCATGACGCAAAAGCCCGATGCCTCATCCACCATGAGCAAGTAGTGGAAAACATCCTGACCAAAACGCATGTAGAAGCCATCTATTTGAAGAGTGCACCAAAGTCGATCCTTACGGCGAAGGCTCACTGCTGGGGTTGAAGACCGTATCTGGTTTTCAAGGCAAACATCGCACTTAAACTCAGCAGCAACAGCCAAGAGCTTGTCTGATGCGCCTCGGGCACGCAAATTTTTGAGAAGAAGACTGTTGGGAGGATGTCCGAACTTCCTGTGGAGTTTCTGCACGGTATCTAGCCAAGCTTCGAGCTCGGTTTTGGTGATCCCCTGAAGACACTCCTTCTTGGCAGTCATGGCAAACACCGAACTCCCGGAGTCCACCATTTTCACTGAGCCATGAACCTGCATCAAGGAAGCTGCAACACTCTGAAGTAGTTTACCATGAAGATCTTGTTCCGAATCCTCCGAAGACAAAGGTCTGGAGCATTCCATGTAGATCACCTTGGACGTGGCGCGCACAAGATTTTGTCCGCACTGCCACTCAAAAGCGTTCCCTTCATCGGCTAGAGCTTTCCAGAATGAACATGCATCCCGATCTCGCCACACTGAAGAGCTCCTCTCTGAGATCCACACGCAATCTCCATGTGTCATCTGAACCTGAGACAAGAGGATGAGATTCCTGATCACCTTCTTAGCCCTCCGTCGTACTGCGCTAGATGCTGAGGATTGTCCGGAGGTATGCGATGTTAAGGGACCCCGGGGAACTTGAAACCACGCAAGCTGAGGTTGAAGCTCTTCAAGTTGTTGTCGAGACCGCTGATAGCCTCCACGGGTACCCAAATCGTAACCCTGAGACAAAGAAGCTGAGAAAGCACCACCGCCTTGTCGCTTAATAAGATCACAAAGCCGACTATCAGCATATCCACCAAACTCGAGAACCTGAACACGGGACTGATCACGACCATGAGCATCAATCAGCTGATCCACTTCGGCCCATGCCTCTTCACAGGAAAGTCGGAGACGGTCTTGCACATCCTGGGTCAAAAGCACTGCATTGGAACTTTCATCTGCACTTCCGACACCCTCATCCGTCATGTCCTTAGCCTGAAAACTCTGGGAATCCGAAGTCAACCTTGGCACAGGAAAACCATAGCTCTGCAAACATTTCCTCCTTGCAATGGTAGCTTGAGAGATCAACCTCGAAGTGTAGAAGGTGACGGAGATACGCAGTCCTCTCCAGCGATCCGTGGCATGAAAGTTCTTGGGATCAAAATTGAATAAAGCGATGCATGGTAGAGTGCAAATGTCCTGGTACACGTTGACCATTATGCTTAGTTTTCCATCGCACCGGAAACTGGCTAGAATCACAACCCTCAGTCAGCTCTACCCAAAGCTCTCCGCCTTCAAATGGTCCAAATGAGCATGTAAAGTTGTTGCTGTTTGGGCAATTATGGGGATCCAAGTGAACTCGCGCTGGTTGGTTGATATTGATTGTGCAGCTAGTCCACCTTGCCGAAGAGCCGCCTAACTGATGTCGGCCAAAAAGGTTGAGATAGCGGCACAACTCAGGTAGCTCATGAGTTTTACGTGTGATGCCTGACATGGGACCATGCGAAAAGAGTCCCAAAACCATGTAGCTCCCATTCTTTCCAGGCTCAATGGCTTGCCGGTTGGAGGTCGTTGCTGCCTCTTTCACAGCCGCTAGCTGCAAGAGAAGCTTCTCACACTGATCATACGAAAAGGATTTCAACCGAGTCATCTCAGCAGCACGAGCCTCCAGCTCATGAACATCGACACTCAAAGAAGCATTCATGATCCCTGCTGGATTCTCTGAGCATACTCCTGCTCCTCCGCAGGCACTGTTTGATGGCGCTTGTTGGGAGGAGTGATGGACATGGCATCCGGCTGACTGGCACCTGGATTTGGAAGGGAAGGACGCTCGTCGTCCTCCACGAGCACTGCTGAACCATTGCTTGAGCTCATCGCTGGAGTCGTGCTCCCATGAGCCCCGTTGTCCCGGTTCGGAGGAGGATCCTTCGGCTTGGCGCCCGGGACCTGCTTGGGAAGAACTTTCTCCTTCTGGAGTCTGATACGGTCCAACTGCTTCAACATGCTGATTTCGGCAGCCTGCCAACCACTGCCTGATCGCGAAGTCGAGGATTGAACTCCAAGGTCTCCTTCTCTTCCGGAACCTTGGTGATCACAGTCTGTGTGTCCTGCAGGAGGGGACCCGAAGCCCGATGGAGGCCGGTCTTTCCTGCTCGCGGGACATACTGTAGACGAAGTCCACAACGGGTACCTGTGCTCCAAGCAGCGTGTTGATTCGCATAGTTCTTGCCCAAGTGTTGGCCGTGGCACGGCGCTCCCATCGCTCTCACATCTCTCGGATCGAAAGGCTGAGCCCGGTCGTAGTCGAGCTCCCCGGTCTCGGATGACTTTTTCTTGGTCTTGGTCTTGCTCTTCGGGGCTGCTTTGGGCATTGCCGGCGAATCCTTGACTCCCTCGTTGGTGGCCATGCTCAAGAATCACCTGTCTCTCGACAAGGATACGCAGAACCGAAGATGTCAGATCACTACCAAGGTCTTGCTCGGAAGGATGCACGACTGACCCTCGAGAGTGAAAAAGAACTGCGGGGGGCTCAGACGGTTCTCTTGGGGCTCCACAATGCGACGTGGCATGACTGCCACTGGAATCAACAACGAAGATTGCTCCAACGCCCTCACTAAAAGCCACCTCTTTCGATCTGGACAGCAAACACGGGAGTGTCCTGATGAAAGTCAATGACTGTCCGAAGGGAACGGAGCGTCCTTACTCCAAGTAGTATTGGCACGCGCTCTGCATCAAGAGTATAGACACCTAGATCCACCCGGGCGTCTCCCAAATCTTGCGGCAGAAGAATGTGAGATACAGAGAACCCCAAGGCCCCGTGGCCAAACCGGAACCTCCTGGGAGGCACATCTGAAATGCGGAAATCCTCTGCATGACCATGTATCTCATACCGAGCAGACATGAGGGCATCCAGAGCTGACAGGGAACCTACTGTCTCAGTAGCTCCAGAATCGATCACCGCATAAGCTCGGAGATCTACCTCATCAGCAACGGCTCCCAACAAGGGGGGATCTGGGTCGTCAGGATTGCTTGAAGTCAAGACACAAACCTGAGAAACGCAAGGCTCCTGAGGAAAACTCGGATCTTCCTCCTGGCAACACAACTGGCTACTGTCGAACCGAAGATCTATGAAAGATCCTTGAGGTCGGCCATTAGGAGGCGTATTCATCAGATCCATCACCGCTGATCCGGAGCTAGAGGTCACATTCTTGAGGAACTCGCTGGGGTTCTCGGACTCAAGAACCTCACCCTCAACAATCAAGCCACCCTTGGAACCGGCCAGTGGCAAATCATTCGGAAGAACCTCGTCATCAGGATCCTGGATCATGAACACCGTCTCAGCCCAGAAGTTGCGACCAGCGCTGACCTTGCCCTTGCCAGGTCCCTTTGAGGAAGAACCACTGCGTTGGGGGCAGTCTCTCCATGAATGCTCGCGGGATCCACACACGAAACACCCGGAGAACTGAGGATCTCCAGGCTGCGCGTACACTTCTGCTGTGGCCGCAAGCACAGAAGGGGTAGAACTTGAAGGCGCAGAAAACTTACCCTTGCCTCGGCCCAGGAGGGATTGACGGGATAGAATCCTCGAGACAGATTTCTGGCCCGAATGGCCTGCCGAGCTTGAGTGAAAGTCCGGGCTTTGGCATCCGCGACAGCATATGCCTCATCAATCTCCTTCTGTTGTTCAGGGCTGAGACCCGAGTTGGAAAGAGCATCCCAGTCACTCCACGCCCAAAACAGACCTGAGGAATCCTGACAGTAGAACTCACCATCCTCTGCGATCTCCCAGTAGGAGTAGCTGCCGTCTTCGTCCTGATGCCAGAAACCTGAATCAGAAGAACGAGGAGAGGGCTCGGCGGGGTCACGGTGGAAGTAGACCTCTTCTGGAAGCTTGGAGCCCACGAAGTGAACCTCACTGCCAGCCAGGAAGTCTTGAAGATCCTCATCTGGAGAAAGGACTAGACTCCATTCTCCAGCTTCCTCGACCCAAAAGGATCGGCGCCGCGGCTCTCATCGTGAATCATGAGCTCGTCCTCCATGGATCTCATCGCACGTTCAATGTCCTGCAGGTGTAGGCTGTTGCCTGATGCAGCCTGGATGCTCAAGCGCGCGGCCGAAGGCAGGTTGGCCCGCCTCAGCAGCAGCCAGCCCAGAACTTCACTTGGGAGAACTTCCTCCAGGCCATGTTCATACTTGTCCCACACCTGGAGGTCCTTCAAGGCTGCGGCACTGTCGTCGCTGTCTTCGTCGTCATCGTCAGCCCTCAACTTACCCCCAGCTCGCCTCTTCCATCCTGCCTCACCAGGAATTTGAGGGTCGAAAGCTGGAACCTCCCGGTCCGCCGCTTCTCCGGCGGGGCGTGGAGCATCTTCTGCTTGCGGTTTCTCCTGAGTAGCCTCGCTAGCCCTTCGGGGCGGAGACGCTTGCGAAGAAGCCTTCTTTCTTGAACTGCTGGGAGACGAGGGAGAAGACGGAGGCTTCACACCTGTGACCTCAGGGACTGGCGACGGACGACCCTTCTGGTACTCCTCTCGAGCCCGACTCAGAGCAACCTGCACTCGCTTGTAAGTCTCACGAACCTGAGAAGCCCAAGTGCTCATGGAAGTCCCCGGAGCTCGACGAAGTCGAAGCATGAGCTCCTCAAGCCGGATACCCACATCAGGAACTGGGGTCCGGCCCAACCGGTCTCGCAGAAACTCTAAGAGATACACCACGCCATCTCGACGGATCAGGCGATGGTGGTCAACGTCCTGCGTAATCGTCCAAGCCCGGCCTCGGAGCTGTGAGACGATAGATGGACCGAGTTGTCTCCGCTTCTTTCTACTGGTGCGTTCGTACAGAAGACGAACTCTCCTGACAAAGTCATTCCAACCTGTGGTGTCACCGTCCCACGAGCACTTGGCCAACGCACCATCATGGTCCTTGTCCATGCCGAAGAAGAAACGCGAAGTAGAACTGTACACTCAACCTCCACACAGAGATCGGGAGTCCCGGCCTCCGGCTCGCTCTCACACAGGCGCTGATGAGCAATGCAAATTTCCCAGGGGCACTGAATCGTGCTCCGCTACCAACGTTGGTAAACGGATGGGCTCTCCT